ATGCTGGACGCCTGGAAGTTCTTCGAGACGATTAAGCCCGAGTGGCTACTCATCGAGGCGCGGCTGCTGGGCATGCCGCTGCGGTTGGTCTGGATGTTGATTGAGCTATACAGGCAGCCGAGGCGGCTGCAAGCTTTCGGCTCGGTGTCCTACGCGGTCGTGTCACATCAGGGCGTGCTCGCAGGATGCACTCACGCCTGTGCCATGGTCACCTTGCTCATGTTCAGGCTGCTCGAGCAGGTGCGAGATGCAGGCGTCACCCCGAGGGCCCTCATCGACGACGTCACCTTGCAGTGGCGCGGGAGGCGGCTCTCGCAACTGGGCGTGCTTTGGGCGGCCACCACCAGGTTCCGAGAGGGCGCCCAAGAGCGAGGCATTGTCGTGCAGCCCACCAAGTCGGGCTACTTGGTCTCATCGGACGCGGCTGCTCGCGAGTGTGCCCGACACGCGGCGGCCCGCAAGCTGACCAAGATGCGCTGGGCCCGCAACCTGGGGCACGATCTGGGCGGGCGCAGAATCGCTAGGCTCCAGACGGCAAAGCGGGTGCGGCAGCTCAAGGAGCGGCGCGGCAAGTTGGCAGCTTTCAGAGGGGCAGTGGGCAGGCGCGCTACCTGCCTATGGAAGACGGGCCTCATGCCGAGTGCGGCGCACGGTGCTGGGGTGTCAGGGCTCACCGACGATACGCTGCAGGTGCTGAGGGCCGAGGCTGGCAGGCTTGCAGGGGCTCGGCCAGGTGCATCGAGCGTCACGGTGTATTTAGCCACGCAGAAGGCGCGCGAGTACGACCCCATCTACGGCGCCACCTGCGACATCGTTTGCCGATACGCCAGCTGGATCTGGGAACAACGCACCTCCCTGGCTAGGCTCCACAGGGCCTGGGCCAAGGTCACGGAGCGGCTCGTGGGGCGCCCGTCCTGGGCAGGGGCTCGCGGTCCCATCGCCTCCGTCACGCTGACGCTCTGGCGCATCGGATGGCACATGTACTCCAGCACGACCCTGGTCACCGACCAGGATACGGCGATCAACCTCCTCACCACGTGCCCGAAGGACGTCAGGATGCATCTGACCAGCGGCGTGCAACGCTGGCAGGCGAGGCAGATCGCGGCGCACCACCGCCAGCACGGCGAGGTCAAGCCTTGGGTGCGGGCCATGCGGCTCTGCGTGGGCGACGGGCGCGCGGCTTTGGCGGAGGGCCCGTCGGCCACCAGCCTGCGTCACCACTGGGCGACGGTGGCCTGGACGCAACAGGCCCAGTGCGACCTTGGGCTGGCGGCGGCGCCGAATTGCAGGGCCTGCGGACATCCGTCCGACTCGCCTGGGCACAGATTTTTCGGCTGCGAGGTACTCGTGCAGCCGCTCGCAGAGGAGGAGCAGGACGAGCAGCTGCCGCCCGAGCCGATGCAGGCCATCCGCACCTTCATGCGCGACAAAGGCCTGCAGGAGGGCGGCAGCTTCGAGAGCGCCGACTTCCAAATGTGCTTGCCCTGCATGCCGCCTTTCGTGCCGCCCGCCGCGGAGCAGGCCGAGGTGAAGTTCTGGGGCTGCTGGCCTAGCCAAGGGGCGGACACGGCTTCCTGCAGCAACGTCGTCTTCACCGATGGCTCAGGCTTCGCGTCCAGCATGCCCGAGCTGAGGCGCTGCGGATGGGCCTTCGTGCAGCTTTCCCTCCAGGGACTGCCTGTTCGGGCGGCGTTCGGGGCGCTGCCAGGGCCGCTCCAGACGGTCGGGCGCGCGGAGAGGCACGCGCTGCTGCAGGCATTGCGGCTCGCGGGGCCGCAGCTCGAGTTCGTCTTCACCGACCTTCTGTCGATGGAGAAGGAATGCAGCCACTGGGGGCAGGAGTTAGAGGAGGCGCGAGCGGCACATGCCACAGTGTGGAGACGGATTCGTGCCCAGCCAGCGCGGCCTGAAGTGAGATGGATCCCCGCGCATCAGGACATGGATGCGTACTTGGATCGAGGCCTCCACCCGCTGCTGTACTCTGGCAACATGTGGGCCGACTGGTTCGCTCGGCAAGGAGCCATGCAGCACACCGTGTCGAAGGTGTACGAGGAGTTCTACAACATCGAGCTGCAACACTACAAGAGCCTGGCAAAGTACGTCGGCTGGGCGATGCAGAGGACGATGCACGCAGGCCGCTGGGATGCGCCCGAGCAGGCAGCCCGCCCGCCAAAGGTGCCCAAGGTGCAGGCGGCGACTGTGATCAGCCACTCCCTGGTTCGCCTGAACGGGACGGCGGTGGTGCTGTGCCGCGCTTGCTGCAGGCAGACCAGCGGGCAGACGGGGCCCACATGGACGCAGTTCGCGCGTTCAGCTTGCGAGGCCAGCCAGTACACCGCGCTGCGGGCCGAGGCCATCATCGCGCACGTCGGCGCGCAGCCCATTGTGGTCTCGGAGGCGGGCGAGTTCGCTATGCAGGCGATCGAGCGAGCGGCGTGCCCCGAAGATGCGGGGCCCAGGCCAGCCGAGCCTGCCCCCTGGGGCTCAGGGGACGGCACCATCGAGATGCAGGGGCACAGGCTGAGGCGCGCAGGGCCCACCATCTACTGCGAGGTATGCGTGGCGTGGGCGGCGACAGGCTCCTCACTGGCCCTGGCTGCGCCCTGCGCTGGCCCGCCCAGCGCCGAGGGCAAGAACCAGCGCACCTACCTGTCCAACCTCAGGGCGCGGCTCAAGAAGCTCAGCCAAGGGCTGCACCCCAAGACAGGAAAGGTGCTCACTTGGGGAGGTGCAGGCGAGGCTCCAGACGGCCCCAGAACATGGGCCACAGCGGCGGCCAGCGCGGCCGCGGGCGACATGGCCTCTGGGGGCGACGGCGCTGCAGAGCGGCCAAGCGGCAGGCACGCGCAGAAGGAACAGGGCGAGGCGACCAGGCCTGGCCAGGACCACGAGACGCGCGAGGTGCCTGCAGGGGCTGGAGGGTCCGACGCAGTCCAGACCAAGAAGCCTGCTTGGCGGGTGCGACGGCAGGAGCTCCTGGAACGGATGCAGCAAAGGCAGCAGCATCTGCTAGCCGAACGTGGTCCAGCAGCCGCCAGCGGCGCGCAGCGTGATGAGGGAGACATGGCCGACGGCAGCTTGCCCTCGGCCTATGGAGCGCACCAATGCCCCGACGGGGGCACCACTGGACTGGTGACGCTCCAGCCGCCGCCAGCTGCCCCAGACGTGGGGGTGGTCGATGCCTGTCTGGCGGCGGGGCCGTCGCGGCTGCCTGCGCCCTTGAGGTGTGACCTGCCCACGGACCACCAGGAGGGCGCCGTGACCAGCCCTCAGGACATGAGCAGCCCGCCGCAGCCTTTCTCGACTACCGATATGGCCAGCACCAGGGGTGGCAGGGGACCTGCAAAGTGCGGTCGCGAGTGCGGCCCCGCCCTGAGTGCTGGCAGGTCTGACAACTCGCAGCGGGCGCTGCCAGGCATGGCCAGTGACAAGGGTGGCAGGAGGCCTGCAAGCCGCGACCCTGAGTGCGGCCCCACCTTGGGCACTGGCGGCGACGGCAGCCAGGCCCACCGCGTGCGGCGACGATTTACGGCCTGGGCCAGGGGTGGCAGGGGACCTGCAATGTGCGTGCGTGAGTGCGGCCCCGCCCTGAGCCCAGGATGCGACGAGGACCGCGACGGCAAGGGTATGGCCAGCGCCAGGGGTGGCAGGGGACCTGCAAAGTGCAGTCCTGTGTGCGGCCCCGCCCTGGGCACTGGCAGCGGGTCTCTGGAAGCGGCGTCGCCTGAGGAGGACCAGCGGCAGCCGCAGCTGGCTTCTGGGGAGGCGTGTCCACGTGCAGCTACGGCTGGTGCCAGGGGTGGCAGGGGACCTGCAGTCTGCGGTCCTGAGTGCGGCCCCGCCCTGAGCACCAGCACCCACCCCGAGCGGCGACGGATTACGGCCTGGGCCAGGGGTGGCAGGGGACCTGCAATGTGCGTGCGTGAGTGCGGCCCCGCCCTGAGCCCAGGAAGCGACGCGGACCGCGACGGCATGTGCATGGCCAGCACCAGGGGTGGCAGGGGACCTGCAAGTGCCGACCGTGTGTGCGGCCCCGCCCTGAGTGCTGGCAGAGTTGCGGTGGCTCGGCCTGAGCCAGCGCAGCCGAGGCACAGCGTCGCGCCCAGGCTGGAGCTGCAGGTCGCTGGATGGGCGCGGTACTGGACCCAGGCTCCCGAGGTCGGCGAGACGATGGAGTGCCACAGCGAGTGGCTCGACCACTGCGTCGGCTACGTCACGCAGATCCTGTCCCAGCCGCGCTTCGCCACCAGGCTGCGGGCGCGTGGGAGGACTGCTGAGGAGATGGCCGAGGAGATCTGCGAGCGGGCCTGGGGGACTGGCATGCCCGCGAGGCGGGCCTGCTACAGGTGGCGCCACACGCTGACGCGGTCGCAGAGGATCGTGTCGGACTGCATGCGGCGCTACGACTACGTGTGCCTGCGGACGTGGCTGGCCGAGCTGCGGCGGGAAGGGCAGCCGCCGCCCATTGGCCCGCTCAGAGCGCCTTCGGTGCCGTGGAATGCGGGACGCAGGAGGCGACGGAGAAGTGGTTGAGGGTCGGCCTCTCCTGGCACGGGCAGCCGCTGCGTGGCGTTCTGGCCCCAGCGGCTCGCCGCACGGCGCTGCGCGGCGGTCTGGCCCCAGCGCGCCGCCCTTCGCGTCCGCTGACGTGATCGGCATCACTGGCCTCCCCTGAGGCTGCGGCCCCCTGGCCGCCTGTGCTGCGTCTAGTTGGCCTGGCCGACGCGACGTCCTGCCGCTGCTCTCCGCTGCTCTCCTCCTCCTCCTCCTCCTCCTCCTCCTCCCTCTTTTCCTCCTACTCTTCCTCCTACCCCTCCTCTACCTTCTCCTCCTCCTCCTCCTCCTCCTCCTCCTCCTCCTCCTCCTCCTCGGGTCGCCTACGGGCCCGGGGGAAACTGTGAACTTCAGGGTTCCAGGCGGGCGTCTCGCAACTGGTGGGCGATGAAATCAGGGGGGAGCCCACCCGGGCCTTCCTAATATTTGGCGTCTGCTCGGCGGCCCTGGGCGCTTATTGAGCAGCCCTGCCCTGTTGGATTCCTTCCTTGCGCGCGTTTGCCTACCGCCTTTGCTAGTCGGGGTGCTTATGATGAGGGAGGTTTCCCCGCTCCCTATAAAAGGAGGGGCGGGACCCAGGAACGCGCGCATTCTTGCCCCCCCACCCCCCCGTGCCATGCAGCACCGCCCGATCCAGGAGCGTCTGAGAGCTGCATAGGATGGGCAGTTGGTCCCTCGGAGGATGGCGGGAGATCCGTGGGTAGGCTTAAGTCGGGCCTGTCCCTCTACAGGAGGAGTATGCAGCAGTAGTCCAAAAATCGTCGGGGGATGATTTTGCGATTATTTTTGAATATCTGGGGATATTGTTCGGCGTTTTTTGTTTTTAGGCCAAAATCCCTCTGTTGGGGGACAGGCCCGACCTACGGGTAGGCGGCCCTGAGCAACGACAAAACAACAGTCGGACTTTTGGAGCTCTTCGAGGGCGCACCCCACGATGTCTCTGCGTGACCCTGGAAATGGTGGCAGCGAGCAGCAGGCACTGCGCTGGAAGCGGTCACTCCGCGTACGAGGTTGAGGACGAGCACGCAGGAGGGAAGAGGGACGCTGGCCATGAATGGATGAGGGATGGGGGAGGGCGGAGGGCGGGAGGAGGAGGAGGAGGAGGAGGGGAGAGGAGGAGTGAGGAGGAGGAGGAGGATGGAAGAGGAGGGGGGAGGGAGGGTAGGGAGTGGAGGGAGGGAGGGGAGGGAGGGAGGGAATGACGGAGGAGGAGGGATGTTGAGGGAGGGAGGAGGGAGCGAGGAGGGATGAAGGGGAGGAGGAGGAGGAGGTAGGAGGAGGGGAGGAGGAGGTAGAGGAGTGGGAAATGAATGAGGAGGGGAGAGGAGGAGGAGGAGGAGGAGGAGGAGCTGGAAGAGGAGGGGAGAGGAGGAGGAGGTGGGGGGAGGAGGAGGAGGAGGAGGAGGAGGAGGGAGGAGGGAGGAGGGGAGGAGGAAGGAGGAGGAGGAGGAGGAGGAGGAGGAGGTGGAGGAGGAGGAGGAGGAGGAGGAGGCAGGACAGGATGAGGTGGGAGGAAGGAGGAGGAGAGGAGGAGGAGGAGGGAGGAGGGGCGGAGGATGGAGGAGGAGGAGGGGAGAGGGAGGAGGAGGAGGAGGAGGAGGAGGAGGAGGAGGAGGTAGGAGGAGGGGAGGAGGAGGAGGTGGAGGAGGAGGAGGAGGGGAGGCAGGAGGAGGAGAGGAGGAGGAGGAGGAGGAGGAGTCGGAGGAGGAGGAGGAGGTGGTTGGAGGGGAGAGGAGGAGGGGAGGAGGAGGTGGAGGAGGAGGAGGAGGAGGAGGAGGAAGGAGGAGGAGGAGGAGGAGGAGGAGGGAGGAGAGGTAGGAGGAGGAGGCGGGGTGGAGGAGGAGGAGGAGAAGGTGGCGGAGGCGGAGGCGGAGGAGGAGGAGGTGGAGGACGGAGGTGGAGAGGAGGAGGAGGAGGAGAAGGAGGAGGAGGAGGAGGAGGAGGAGGTATGGAGGGAGGAGGGGGAGGGGAGGAGGGAGGAGGAGGAGGAGAGGAGGAGGACGGAGGAGGAGGAGGAGGAGGAGGAGGAGGATCGTGTCCTCGCCCGTGCGCCTCTGCCTGCTATCATTTGACAGGCTTCCGCCGTTCCTCCGACCCCAGACGAGGGACGAAGTCCACGTTGGAGGCCTTTTGGTTGGGGGGAAGCCCTACGATTTCAACGAGACGACGTGGCTACACCATGAGAGAACGGATGGATGGGGACTGCTGGGAAATCAGCTCCTGAAGCACGCATTGTCCTGAGTAGACCCCCAACGCGCGCGCGCGCAGCTTCTCATGCGAGGCCATGGCCTCGCCCGCCTCGCCCGTGAGGGGCTTGGGCGCATGCCCGCACAGGCGTTCCGTTCCGTTCCGTTCCGTTCTCGGGTGCCTTCTGGGAGCCTCTTTCGGGCCTCTCCGGGCTTCTCCGGGGCCTCTACGGGCCCCTTGCGAGGTTTCTGAGCGCCTGCTGGCGGTCTCGGGGGTCCTCTTGGGGCGGGCTCGGGATGTCACTTCGAGTTGGCTCTCTTGGACCCCTTTTTTGGAGCTCTCTTGGGCCGTGTTGGGCGCCTCTTGGGCCGTCTTGGGACCCTCTTCGGCTGCCTTGGAGCTCTCTTGAGGGATTCCTGGGCCGTCTTGGAACTATCTTGGGTGATCTTGCGCAGTCTTGGACGCTGTTAAGACTAACCATGCGAAAATGCTAAAAATTAGATGTTTGCCTCTTAGGGCCATCTCGGGTGTCGTCATGGAGAGATCTTGGGGCCTATTCGTGGCCTCTTAGACAGCCTTGAGGCCATCTTGGTCGCCTTTGGGGACTTCTCGGCGTGTTGGAGGCCAGCTTGAGGCAGCTCCGGTGGCATCGTGGACATCCTGGAGGTCTCACGGAGTGTAGATCTGGAGGCTCCGGATGCCCCCGGGGTGCGCTGGCCAGCTTGTCCTCCTTCCCCTCCTTCTCCCCCTTCTCCCACCCCCTCCTGATCGGACTTCACACCCCAGCGGAGGGGGAAAGGAGGAGGGGGACAGCATGGGACAGCCAATCGTCTCCCACGCATGTGCACCCCTGGCCAGCGGGGGCCAGCGGATTAACCTGATGCTGATCCTGACCCTCCCCCGGCTCCCCTCCCTCGTCTTCCATCCTCCCTCTCCACCTCCCATCTCTCCCGTTTCATGAGGCGGCCGTGTGGCGCATTGAGCCCGGGGGTGCGGGTGTCAGGAGGCAGGCGCCCATCCTGGTGGGGTTCGACTTCGACTGCACGCTGACTGTAAGGCTCGACTGGCCTCTTGTGTGTGACGATGGTGACGATGTGATGGCGGCGATGACGATGGCGGTGATGATGACAATGATGATGATGATGATGATGATGATGATGATGATGATGATGATGATGATGATGATGATGATGATGATGATGATGATGCCGATGCTGATGCTGATGCTGATGCTGATGCTCATGCTCATGCTTATGCTGATGCTGCTGCAACTGCTGATGATGATGGTGGTGATGATGATGATACTGATGTAAATAATTGTATTGATGATGCGATGATGTTGCGATGATGGCTATGAGTCAGATATCGGTTCTGATAGAGGGTGCTAATTATGAATATGGCGATTGAGACAATGACAACGATGATCGTGATCGTGGTGGAGGTGATGATGCTAGTGATGGCGGTAGCGATCAATGAGATGACCGTCATGGTTCTGATGATGCTGACGAGGTTGATGAAGATACTGATGATGAATGGTTACGACAGCGGCGACGGCGGCTGCGTTGATTGCGACAGCGATGCCCACGATAGTTGGCAAACGGGGTATTGATCTTCGCCAGCATGGTGGGGTCGCACTGCAGAGTGTCTGCGATCCTGAAGGGTCGCAGACATCGTTCTGCAGCATCTTGTCCTCACTGGCGCAGCGCGTGCCATGCACAGCAAGGCGCAGCCCGCCCCGAGGGCATGCCTGTTCCTCCACGAAAGCCTGGACAGGAACGCGAGCAGCAGCGCCTGCCTCGACCAATCACAACGGCAGGCCGGGACTGCCCGCCAACGGCGTCGACGTGCTCCAGGACCACTGCCTGCACAAGCGACGAGGTCGCAGGCCCCGGGAAGGCCTCAGGCATGGAAGGCAGCGGAGAGCACGGAGCCGGCGGCGGCAACGGCGGGCGAACAGCAGGTCGACCATCGCGGCCCGTCCAGGGGAGGCCTCCGGCATGGCAGGCAGCGGAGGGGAATGAGCCAGCGGCGGCAACGGCGGCTGAACAGCATGTCGACCAGTGCGGCCGGGCTGAGCCCCACCCAGAGGGTGAGGTCGTCCAAGGGCACCAGGTACTGTCGAGTGGGACGAGCAGTGCACCGAATGCCACGTCTTTCACAGCACTTCTGTCACACGCCTCGGCACTGAGCAGCGCGCCGGAGCTGAGAGGCTGAGAACCACGACGCTGAGCAGTACGACGGGATCCACCACCAATAGCCCCACTGAGAGGGGGAGGTCGGCCAAGAGCAGTCAAGCAGTGGCGAAGTGACCTGGAGTACCTAGAGGCCGACCAAACAATGTTCCTGAGAGCCTTTTGTGGCCTCCACGAACTGTGCTCAGAACAGTTCTGGCTGGGGCTGTCTTGTTTCCACACATCGGTTCTATGCTTTCGTTCTTACAACATGTTTGGGGCTGAAATAGCTTGTCGTGGTAGGCCTATATCAGAAAACACACAGACACAAATAATCGCCGATTCCCCAGAACATATGGGCAAATATGGGAAGTGGGGGGGAAGACAAGCACCCAGAAAAAATATATAGGAGACTGTGGGGACTCCTGTGGTTTGTGTGTATTTTTATTCGTGTGTGCCAGGGCCCCTCCACCACAGGACTGCCGGGGCGGTCGGCCCCTGCTCAGAGCAGCGGAGTGGTCGCCGGCACGGCGATGCCGGGCCGACCCCGGGTGCACCGGGCCGCAGGCCCAGGCCAGGGCGCGGCGGGCGGCCAGTGCGCCGCGGGGCCGAGCTGCCGCCCTGCCGCGAGGGGCCGCGGCCTCGAGCGGCTGCAGGCAGGTGCCCGGGAGGAGCAGAGCGGCAGCAGCATCCTGGAAGATTCTCGGGCTCTGAGAGCATTCTCGGGCGCTGAGAGCATGGCTGTTCTCCCCAGAACGTTCTGGGGCTCTGGGAGCATTCTTGGGCTCTGAGAGCACTGCTGTTGTTGTCCCTGGAGCATTATTGGGCTCTGAGAGCATTCTTGGGCTCTGAGAGCAGGGTTGTCGTCCCGAGAACACTCCTGGGCTCTACGAACATGTCGCGGTAGGCCTGCAGGAATGCGGGGACGGTCGGTCCCTGCCCAAGAAGAGCGGCATCAGCATCAATTTTCTAAGGTCCGCGCGGATCTCTTGGATCTGCGCTGGGACCCCGCCCCCCTTGGCGGCGCCTCCAGCGCCGCCCCTTCCGCGCTCCGCGCGCCCGGGAGAGGGTGGTCCAGCCAGCACGGATCCGAGACTCCGCGCGGACCTTCGCAGGTGTACAGCCGGAGCGAGGGTTGAGAGCAGCCCTGGCTTTGGAGGGGTACCCTGTCGCTCTTCGTGCTTGGGCCCTCCACCTCGGCATGGCCTTCGCGGGGCGTGCCTCCAGGGGGCCTTGAGCTCTCGGCCAACGGGCTCGTTTTTCGTGATGAGCGGTCTTGTCTCCACGCTTCGATTGTATGTTGATGCCGGTCTCTCTCCCAGTGTCATGATGTTCCAGCCCTCTTTAGCTTGGATCACTAAAAAGAAGTTCGAGCACCAAGAAAGTACCGATACTTTGAGGGCGTTCGCGTGTCGGGCCCTGGGAGGCTACTCGGCCGACGCTGTTTCGATACTTCTCTGGGTGCTCGCAAGTATTTCTTGGATGTGGTCCTCGGGTACGATGGGAGCAACATAACTCCAGTGCTGCACGGGAAGACTCAGGAGGGGAACAAAACACACCGACACAAGTCATCGTCGACTCCCAGGAAAATATAGGAAAATATGGGAAGTGGTGGGGAAACCGAACAACAAGACAATATAACACCATAGGGAATCCTTGGATTTTTTTTTTGTTTTGTGTGTGTGTCCTGGGCCCCTTGCAAGATCTCGGTGCTGCTCGCGGCCGCCGGCGCCCGCCCAGAGAGCTCCCGGCGGGGGCAGCGCCGCGGGCTGGGCTCCCAGCAGCAGCGGCGAGCGTGCTGACGAGGAGGGCCCCCCCCAAAAAAAAAACAACCTCACGCCGCCCTTCCCTCCCCCACCCCCTCCCCCGCCCCCTCTCCTCGCCCGCCCGCCGGGGAGAGCGAGGGGGGCCCGCCAAGGGGGAGGGGGGAGGGGAGCGAGGATCAGGGGCAACGATAGGAGGGGGCAGGTACAGGGGTCTTGTGGAGGACGATCAATGGAGAGGAAGCATGCTGCCAAATAACTGCCAGATGTCTAAAACATGTGAGAACATTTATTACTCCTAAGAGAAACATGTAACACAACATGTTTAAAACATGGTTAGAACATGTTTCCTACGTTTGAAGTACAGTCTAAATTCAATGATAGGACTGTGGCATCGACTGTGTCCATTGTCGTGGCATCCACAAAGGGGGCACGCATCGACCCCCCAATAGCCCCTTGATCGCCGACGGGGCAGGGGCACCGATAGCCTCAGCCTATCCAAGACGGTGCGGAGGCCCATGGCCGACCCATCGGCGGCGTGCCGCCGACTCCGGGTCGACGCATCCCCCCCCCCCCGTCTAGCAGTCCTCGTCGATCGCTGCCCCTCGGAGGAGGGCGAGGGGGGGGAGGGTCGGAATTCCAAATCGACGCATCCCCCCACATGCCAGTCCCCGTCCATCGTGACCCCTCAGAGGAGGGCGAGGGAGGGAGGGTCGAATGATGGGCCTGTTTTCCACCACCACTACCACCATACATTGGAGGGGGGATGGAGGTGGAGGACGAGGAGGAGGAGGAGGAGGAGGAGGAGGTCCCCCTCCCACTCCAACTTCTGGTGCTGGTGGTGGTGGAGAGCTGGCCCATCAGCGAAGAGCAGCAGGATGGCATAAGCATTGAGTGTCTTGGAGCTCCGCGCGGGTCTCCTGGATATCGGCTTTGGGCCTCCCTGGATCGGCTCCTCTGGCGCCGAGCCAGGAGAGAATCGCGCAGAGCTCCAACAGTTTATGCTTCTGCTGTTGTTTTGTGCCTCCTAGGGGGAGGAGGAACGAGGAGCAGGAAGAGGGCGAGGGAGGGAGGGCGAGTGGGCAGCAGGAGAAAGAGGAGGAGGAGGAGGAGGAGGAGGAGGAGGAGGAGGAGGAGGAGGAACCACGCCCGCCTGCCTTTGCGTGCCGCCCGTGGTAGCCTTTGACGACCTCCTGCTCGATTAACTCAACTCGACCTGCCCGTGGTAGCCCTCTGGTCTCGGATGCCTTCATCGACCGACCGCCCTCTGATCTCGGATGCCTTCATCAACCATCCTGGACTCTCTGTGGGGGTCATCCGTAAAGTTGGGACGATACAGGGAAGATTAGCATGGCCCGTCCCGTGCGCAAGGATGACATGCGCAAATCGAGAAGTGTTATACAATCGACCGGCCGACCGACGGATCCTGGAGTGCGGAGCAGGAGGATGACTCGGTTGTTGTTAGAAGTGCTCCTGGCCCAAGGTGCCCCCAGGATTCTCGAGGAGGTCCCTACGGCTTCCAGAGCACACCCCGCCAGGCCCAGAGGGCCCCTGGGGCTCCGAAATTGCGCGGAAAGCTGGGGGCACCCTGGGCCAGGGGTACCTCTAGCAACCTCCGCCGGAGGACGGAGGACGGAGCTCGCTGGGGGCAGCGCGCGCGACGCGCTGCTTGCCAGCCTGGAACATATCCCTATCCCTATGCTGGGCATCTCCTCATCACGATGCCAATCTTAGGGATTCCCCTTATTTTTTGAGGGCGCATCCCTAAGATTGTCATCGTTTTTTTGGCGTGCCAATCTTAGGGATAAGGATACGTTCGAGGCTGGTAAGCTGCCCCGGGCGCGGGGACCAGCGCCCCTCCATCAGCCCGCGCCGAGAGGCACTTCTACAAGGCCTTCGCGTGGGGGTACGCTCAGGACGGGCCCCGCCGCGTTCCACGCCCGGCCGCGCGCGAGGCCGCGGGGTCGGGGCGCCGGTCAGGGCGCCGGCGACGGGGGCACAGCAAGCGTCGGAGGTGGATGAACCTCCTACCCTGACACGTCGATTAAGGAATTGGCCGTTTTCAGTTCGCGAGAGGGCGTCGCGGCCGTCGTTTTTGCGGGTCCAGGTCTGTCGGTTTCGGTCCCAGGCCGTTTTCACTGAGGGGAGGTTTGCTACAGGGAGGTCTGTCCGTCCCCGAAAACGGGGGCACGGGAAGCGCCGATGTCCGCGCTGGGCTGTGCCCCCGCCTCGGGGGCCTCCTGGGCGCCGCAGGCAGGGTCACAGTGGACGAGCGCAGCTGGAAAGCTGCGGCCCCGTTTGCTCACGAGGCCCGGGGGCGGGGGGGGGGAGGCCGGCGCGGCGGCGGCCACGAGGGAGGGGTGCTCGGCCCCTCCTCGTGCGGTGGTGGCCCCATCCCCGCGCAGCGTGGGGGCAGTTGGGGGGCCCTGGGGCCTCCGGGAGTTGCCAGAGGCCTCCGAGGTTAGGTCGGGCATGTCTTTCTGCAGGGGGTGGGAGCATAGAAAATTCGCCCAAGCATCGCCAAAACATGATCAAAAGGGCACGAAACCTCGTCCCCATCGTTAATACTGCAAAAAGCTATTCTCGGATGTCCGTAAGGGCTTCGCCCCCTGCCGCCGGCCCCTTCTCTCGGATAATGGGCTATGCAAGAGCTCAATCATGAGGCCTCGGCGCCGCCGTGAAACAGCATCGGCAAGAGAACTTGAGATTCTGACGATATTGTTGAACTCAGTGTTGCATTTTGAACCTGCCCCCGTATGCTGTGCACTGAGGTTTCCCACAGAATTTCGGACATGTGGCAACTCCCATGGGTTTTTCGACCCTGACCCTGCTGATCTGCGTGAAGGCTGCCGCCGAATTTCAGAAATGTCATGGGTTTTTGGACTCTGACCCTGCGTGAGGGGTGCCGCCGAATTTCAGTAATGTGGCAAATCCGGTGGATTTTTTGACCCTGACCCCGCCGATCTGCGTGAGGGGTGCTGCCGAATCCCAGTAATGTGGCAAATCCCATTGGTTTTTCGACCCTGACTCCACCGATCTGCGTGAGGGGGGCCGCCTGAGTTCACAAATGTGGCAAATCCTCCTGGACTCGCCGATCTGCGTGAGGGATGTCAATTTCGACCCCCTCAGAAATTCTGAGAACCCTCCCAGGAGACTCTAGGTTTGCCGGTTTGTGGCCCCCACCCCCTCGCCCGGTCTGCAACAAGGAACAGTAATAGAAGCAGAGCTGTAACAGTGGAAATTGGAAATTGGAACTGGCGCAGGGAACAGCAGACCCTCGTCATACAGCCTGGTGGCCCCACAAGGGGGTCGGCGGATTTCTCCTGTAGTGGGACATGCCCGGCTGAAGGTAGAGGGGGGGGGGGTCGGGGGCCTCCAGGAGCTTCCAGGGGCGTTTGGGGGCTTCCGAAGACCTTTGGAGGCCTTCAAAGGGCGGAGACGTGCGGAGGGGGGGTCGAGGATGATTTTTCCAGGAGTTCTCAGGCGGGCTCAGGATGTCTTGCGTCGGTCTCGGTTGGAGGAGGCGGATGGGCGGTTGGAGAAGTCGGACAAGGAGGAGGTGGAGGAGGAGAAGACGGAGGAGAAGAAGGAGAAGGGGAGGAGGAGGAGGAGGAGGAGGAGGACGACGACGACGAGGAGAAGGATGTGGGCCTCATAAAACTGAAGATGTATCGGCGATGCTGCAATACATCCTCCCGTCCCAAGTCTCCTCCTCAGCAGACCTTAAGGCCTGTTCGGAGGCTGTCGTCGCCACCAGTGGATTCGCCTCGAAATCATGGTCATAACGCACCCCTGGAGAGGTCTGGGAAGTAGCGGTATCGGTACCCTTCGGTTTCCCCACTTCCCGCGCCCCTTCTTGCTGCTCGTGACGCGATGCACACCTTGTCCCCCCGTGGGTGAAGAAGAGATTGCCCACACGGCGTTTGGCCTATCCTGCGCTGGGTGCTTCGTCTGCCCTCCAGGGGACCGGTCCGGCGCCAGGGCTGGCATGCAGACCGCATTTCGACTAGACGTAAGAGTGACCTTTCGCCGAAGTGACCTTTGGTGCGGGCACAGATGGGTCCCCAGATGGCTGAAAACGAAGCAGTAGCAGGTGCTTGCGCGCCCAGGTTTGGCCCCCCCGCGGCCCCCCAAAAGTCGCGCACCAAAGGTCACTCTTACCCAAAGGTCACTCATTGCGTGTAGCCGAATTGGTCGTCGAGTCGAGCCCGAACGGAGTCTCAGGCCAGGGCCCCCGTGTGAAACGGAGCCGCCCTCCGCCCGTGGAGCTGCTGGAAGTTCCTATGGGGGAGCGTGCGTGGCATCAGGGCGAGAGCCACATTTTGACAGCGGCCCGCCCTGCTGCGCAGGAGCAGCACTGTGGTACTGCTTGGTCCGTGGCCCTCAGTAAAACGACGCGAAGATCGGGACAAAATCGGATCGGGATAACTCGAAATCTCTGAGAATCGGCGGGTTTGGAGGATGTATCGGGCGCCGCGGCCGCTCCAGAGCGTTCCGGAACGCTCTGAGAGCGCTCCGGAACGCTCTGGAGCGATTTATCCCGATCCTAGCTCTGTTTTACTCAGGCTCGAAACCGCTCAGCACAGCAAGGGCACAGCGGGAGTCGTGCGCAGTCCCCGCCGAGCTCGCACACGTCACTGCCCGGCACTTCGGTACAGCACTCGCAGCGAAAGCCCCATCTTAGGTGTTCCTACCCGCGCGTTGCACGTGGCGGCGTGGCAGCAGAAGACGAGCCTTCAGGAGTGCGACCGCGGGCAGCGACGGCAGTGGCGTGCCCCGCCTGCGGGCTCCGTGGGCGGTCGGGAGCGCAGCCCCCGACGCAGCCCCCGTGGCGAGCCCGCAGCCCGCGCTGCCGTGCCCCGCTCGTGCCGGCCGGGTGGCCGGCCTCCGCCCTGCGGCAGAGGGCCGGCCGCGACGACGACGGCAGGTGGCGAGCTCATGACAGTCGACTCTGGCCGCGTGGCTCATCTGAAGATCCGCGGGTGCATCGAGGGCCTGCTCAAGGGCTGCGTGAGCCCAGAGGTCCAGACACAGATGAAACGTGCATCCACGGCTCTGCTCGCTCATTCTGACTCTCTGCAGAACTTGGATGATAGAGAAGCGCAGTGTGAGGAGCAGCAGGATCAGTTGTTCAGTGGTCTTATCCCTTCTGGCGGCCGTCCTTCAACAGTCAGTTGCGGGAGCATGTTCTTGGACTCAGAGATCATTCCCAGCGAGTTGCACATGCGCGTTGAGCTGGGGGGCATGTCTATCCGGAAAGCGTAAAAACACTTGTACACGTAGCGTTTGGCACATCAGAAGCAATTGGAGTTCTTGCTCGTTGACAGGCAGCAGGCAGTTTTGAAAAAGAAGGCCCTTCCCGCGAGAGCTTCGTAACCAAGTGCCTCGCGGTGGAAGCCTCCAGTTCATCGCCTTTCGCCGCTTTTCTCGGTCTCGGCGAAGACGGCGAAGTGGGCATCGATCCGCGTTGCACCGCAAGGTGATCGACCAAGCGGTTGTTCGGACGCAGAGGAGCGTGGGCCAGCAAAACAAGGAGACGGCGCGGAAACGGATTGGTGATTCCGTTTTTGAGAAGTTTCCGGAGGAAGTGTTGACTTTGTTCGTCGCGTCGCGAATCCACGCTTCGAAGGGGAAGTCTTCCAAGAGTAGTCCAGCGCCTCGGCGCCGGTTCCTGCGTCGTGGTGCACCCACAGCGCAGCAGGTCAGATTTCGCCGGCTGTCGTATTGGACGATGTGCCAAAACGATTCCACATTTGCCGCGGGTGGGAGCAAGTGGAAGGCCGAAAGCAAAGGCAAGCACAAGGGCAAGGGCGAGAACAAAAGGCAAGGGCAAGGACAACTACAGGTTCGGAACAGGAAAAGCGGCGGACGAAGGCGATGGCTAAAGCGCTGGGAAGTCCAAGAGCGACACTTACAAGGGCAAGGGCGCTTCGAGGGGCAACGGGCGCGGCCGGAGCAAGGGCAGAGGCCGTGGCAAGGCTAGCGGTCGCGGGAGACATGGCAGCGGCTGGGCGCCATCAAGACTGGTGCCCGGGCGCCCCAGCACCATTTTCTGTCGCTTTGCAACCCGTCCTGTCCCCCGAATTGTTCGCATCATAAACCCATGGTTTCACGTTTTCTGTCGCTTGTCAAGCGGCTGGATGCTAAACAGTTTGCACGGTTGCTGCAGCTGCAGCATGGAAGGGGACTCCTGGCGCGTGCCTGTGCGATACCGCCACTCGCGCTACGGCGGTGCCTAAGAAAGGCCAGATGTCGCGGGAAGTTGAGCTCTAGCTTCGAAACGACAGGAAGCATATTCACGGTTTCGTTCGGGAGCCGCCCCTTGAGCAGATATCAACACCATTGGCAGTTATGTCCAATAAGTAGATTGGCTTGGCGCATAATTTCAGACAGCAGCAACCGAATCCATGGCGCCACGTAGCTTCGAGACCGTTGCGCCCGCGGCGCTGTGCCGACGAATTGCCGCGACCATTTCGCGCGTGCGTAGACGAGGTGGCGTCCACGGCTTTGCAGTGGTGCCTCAAAGCCAGGCTTCGGCCCAGTCCGCAGCCGCCGCTGCCAGGGGCCGCCAAGTTGGCTTTTGAGATGCTCGAGCGAGGCGTCTTGGGTATACTGCCCACAGAGAAGGATGGTGGTTTTGCTGTCGTTAACACGATGCGACTCATCATTGCTATCTTCCGTGCGCTCGAAGACAGGCTGCGTTACATTCCCGCGGAAGCATCGCGGCGGCATGCTTAGGACCTGCGCGCTGAGTGCCGCGACGTACGTCGCCACATCGCAAGCGTTGGCGCAAACAATATGAACCAGCAGATGCATCGTGAACTGGTGAGCGCCAGCGACACGCCAGAAGACATCGATTTCAAGTTTGGCACCGTTGCCAAAGGTCATAAACCACAGGGCCAATGCAAGTTGCGCG